TACTCATGTATGTAATAATATAACAAAATCTTTACTTTGGTGCATGTTATGAAGTGGAGATACAACTTTAATTATTTTCCAAATAGCCAGACTTTTGGGCAGGCCCTAATTGTGAAGGGTCTGGAATTCTCTTTGGAGAATTTCATTTCAAATTTGTTTGTGAGGATACTTTGGGCATATGGAAGCAGAATGTCCTCTGGGCAGGGTCCCAGGACACTTGGAAGCTGAGTGTTTCCTGGGCTCTTCTTTACTTGTGACATAGTGAGGGCAAAGAACTAGTAGGTAGTGGATGAAGGTGACAAAAACTAGGTGAAATGATAGTGTTTCAATGATTGCTTGAGTAATTTTATAATGCTCTTTTGAATCTAATCCACCTCTTTTTAGGATGGAACCATAAGATTAACATTTTCATGTGAAGACATTACAACATCAACGATGAATTTGAAATACCTTTAGACAATAACTCACAATTATTCCTTCTCTTCCTCTTCCTTCCTTTTCTTCATTCCCTCCCTTCCTCCCACCCTCCCTCTCCCCTACCTCTCTGAATGTTGACCTAGAGGTTCCTAGTTAGGGAACCCAAGTTAAATCTTTAATCTCTTTCAATATCAGTATCTTCTCTGTAAAATGAAGCTAATAGCATCTAACTCGGAGATTATATTATCCTATTATATGGATATCCATATAGATACTAAATTAACTTTTTTGATTATGAAAAGTATTAATGAACTATATTTATTTGCCATTTAAATTGTTTCCTAACCATATGATATATACATTTTAATATTACATCTATTTTCCAGGGTTTTTTTAAATTTAAATTTTATTTTTATATTCCCCATACAATTACAACCCCCTTGTTTTGACCCCAAGCCCTCCTTTCCCTGTCCCCCACCCCCCACAGAGTGTCTCTGGTTCATAGTTGTTTGTTGATTTTGATATTTTCTTTCTTATAGTTATTCTTTTTCCTGGTCCCTTATTTAAGTTTTCTAGATTCCTGCTATGAGTGAGACCATCCGGTATTTTTCTTTTTCTTTCTGGCTTATTTCACTGAGCATGATCCCTTCCAGCGCCATCCATGTTGCTGCAAATTGCATGTGTTTATCTTTTTTGAATGCTGTGTAATATTCCATGGTGTATATGTACCACATCTTCTTGATCCAGTCATCTATTTTTGGTATTTTCCAGGTTTTTAAAAAAATATGTTTTTTAATTTATTTTGTAGAAGAACTGGGGTGTAGGCCAGAGGTGCTGGGGGGTGGGGTGAGAGGCTCCACCAGAGACAGAGTGGATTTACTGAACAGAACAGGCAGACTTACTGAAACACACTGCTAAGGGAAGCAGTGGGCAAGACAGTAGAGGTCTGCCAAGCAATGTGGGTTAGCTCTCTGGCCCTTGGTGGTGATTGTGCTGAGACTTAACCCCTAGGCCACCAACGAGACTCAAATTTTTGCAGTTTTGGAACATGGTCTGTATGTTATTTTTGCTGAGCCTCCAGGATGGTGCCATGAACAATAAGTCACTCATAAGTACTTTGGTTATTTGCTTACTATTTCAATTAGCACAGAAAAGTAATTTACTCCTGGTCTGGAAGTTTTCCTCCCAAGCTTACAGAGCTCTTTTAGAGCACCCTCAGGATTGGGGGGTGTGATGTAGGTGCAATGAAACCTCACAAATGGCAGTTCCTTCTCTGCAGAATGCTTCTCATCTTGTGGGCATTCAGCAACCATTGTTGAACTCTCTGTGTTAGGGAGGAAAGCATGAATCCTTTTTTTTTTTTTTTTTTTTTTTTTTTAAGATTTATTTATTTATTTATACAAGCACTGGGTACAGTCAGGAGTGCGGGAGGGTGAGAGAATTCATCAGAGCCAGAGGGAAAAGCAGAGCAGGCAGACTGATGAAGTACACTGCTGAGGGGAGCAGTGGGTGGCAGGAGAGGTCTGCGTGCCATGTGGGACCCTCGCCCGGCAGCTAGGATTCAAACCAGTGCTGCAGAGGCTGCGGGCAGCTTCACAGCCCTGGGCTCAACCACTGCACCACCAGGGGAGGCCCGAAAGCATGAATCCTTTGAGGTAAATTAATGTCTACATTTTACATATGAGACTGAAGAAACCCAGAGAGAAAAGCAACTTGCCCAAGTGCAAAGCTAGCCATCCTGACCTGGGATCTGGCTTTGTGTGCCTGTGGAGAGCTCCACTTGGGGAGGGCTTAGGATGTGTGAGCACATCCATTTCCACATTTGGCCATTCTAAGGTCTCCAGCCCCAGAGAATGAGTGCCACAGAGTCTTTTTTCATCTTGAACTTCTAGGAAGCATGTTATCCCTTTGAGCATCTGGAGTCTCATGGAGCACTTCCAAAAGATTTATTTACCATTTTCTTGATCTTATTTATTAGTTGCCTGAATACTTGGGGAGAGAGGTTGGTAGAAGGATATAAAATAAACATTTGAGAGCCTGCTAAGTACTGGGTTTTGAGCAAACCACTTTCATCTGTATTATTGCATTCTAATTGCTTTTTCTTTTCTTTTGATCCTTTTAACCAGTAATGAAATATAATAGAGGAAAATGAACAAAACAGAAACCAATGGCTTATCCCAAAGAGAAAAGTCAAGTAGCAATCATCACTGTTAAAAAGTAGAACACTATTGGCGCTCCAGGGCTCCTACTTGTATTGTTCATCCTGCTCCCCATTTTCATCCCCTCCCAAGGTGAGTACTGTAGACGCCTTTTTTTTTTCTTTTAAAGATTTATTTATTTATTCATACATGAACTGGGGTACAGGCCAGAGGTGGAAGGAGGTGAGAGGATTCACTAGAGACAGAGTGGGGAACAGAACAGGCGATTGACTGAAATACACTGCTGAGGGGAGCAGTGGGTGAGACAGGAGAAGCTGGCTGTGTCATGTACATCACCTCCCTGGCCAGCGATTGAGCTTGTGCTGCAGTAGCTGTGGACAGCTTTATAGTGCTGTGTCTTAACCCCTTGGGCCACCAGGGAGGCCCACGTCTTAACTCGTATGGCCAATACTTTCTTGCATTTATTTCTGATACATCAACTGAGCATGTGTCCATGAGCACTATAGTTTGTGCTGGCTTGGGCTACAGTGTTTACTGTGTTGTCTCTGTTTACTGTTGACTCAACATTACATTTGGAAAACATTCATCTGTGTTGTTTCCAAAAGCTGAGGATTGTTCATGCCTTCATGTATAATATTACCTTTTATAAATATATGCAATTAATTTAGGCATCCTACTTTTAATGCATATTTGGGTTGTTATCAATATTTAACTATTAACTATGAAGCTGCTATGAGGTTGGTGTACATACTTCTTGGGGCACATGTGCATGCATTTCTATCAGGGGTGGAATTGTTGGGTTAGAAAGTATGTGTATATTCAACTTTCATAGGTAATGCCAATTATTGCTTCTTCTAACTTTTCTTATCTTGGAAATCAGAAATTCTGAATATGGCCTAATCCTGGATTTTAATAGGAATTCTCCAGAAGTCTGAATTCATGCCCTAAGTTTCAAGTGTTGTCTTTTTTTAAATATTCATTTATGTATACAAGAGCTGGGTACAGGCCAGAGATGTGGGAGGGTGAGAGGATTCACCAGAGACAGAGCAGGGAACAGAACAGGCAGACTGACCGAAATACACTGCTGAGGGGAGCAGCGGGTGAGACAGGAGAGGTCTGCTTTGCCAAAAAATATGGAACTCTTCAAGAATTTGTGTGTCATCCTTGTGCAGGGGCCATGCTAATCTTATCTGTATCATTCCAATTTTAGCATATGTGCTGCCGAAGCCAGCACTGTTTTGTTTTTTTTTTCAAGAGAAAGAAAAAGTTTATTTTTTTAAATTTTTTTTTATAGAGGCATGTTTCATTCATTTATTTGTTTGTTTTTTGTTTATACATGCACTGGGTACAGTCAGAAGCGCGGGAGGGTGAGAGAATTCACCGGAGCCAGAGTGGGGAGCAGAGCAGGCAGAAGGACCGAAGTACACTGCTGAGGGGAGCAGCGGGCGGCAGGAGAGGTCTGCGTGCCATGTGGGACCCCCTCCGGTGGCCGGGGAGCAGCCGGGGATCGAACCTGCGCCGCAGAGGCCGCGGGCAGCTTCGCAACCCAGCACTCAACCGCTGCGCCGCTGGGGAGGCCCAAGAAAAAGTTTATTAAGGAGAAAAGGAACAGAAATAAAGGCCAGGAAGGGGCAAGGTAGCCAGTTTGAAGTTTTTTTGTTTTTTTCCCCAGGAATTGAGCTCAAAGTGGAGAGCATGGGGCCTCCCCTGGTGGCGCAGGCGGTAGAACACTGCTCTGTGAAGCTGTCCTCAGCCTCTGCAGCATCGGTTCGATCCCGGCCGGCCAGTGAGGGTACCACATGGCGCGGCAGACCTCTCCTGTCGCGCCCGCTGCTCCCCTCAGCAGTGTATTTCAGTCAGTCTGCCTGTTCTGTTCCCTGCTCTGTCTCTGGTGAATCCTCTCACCCTCCTGCGCATCTGGCCTGTACCCCTGTTTTTGTATAAATAAATAAATAAATAAATCTTTAAAAAACAAACAAAACAAACAAACAAACAAAACAAAGTGGAGAGCATGGAAAATACCCCCTGGAAGGTATCCTTAACTGGTATGTAATGCAGACATGAACTTTACAACCATATGTGGGGTGTGTGGGTAAAGGGCACCTTAAGTCTCGGGGTCCAGCTTTATCACTTGAACAGTAGAAAGAACCAGGGTGCTAAAGATACAGTGGGTTAAATTGGCAAAAGTAGGCAGTCACGTCGACGAGGCTCTTTGGGATCAGCGTTTACACCACTCAGGAGGTGAGGCCTCTCGGCCTTGGTTTGGGATCCGGGTAGGAAGCAGCCCTGGAGCTGGGTGGGCCAGGCAGACACACGTGGCGCGTGGGCGCCCACACTGTTGGGGGACCAGGAGGTTAGGGGCACCGGGGTGGGAGCAGTGGAGGGCGCTCTGCTTGTTGCCCGGCAACAGAACGTGTCCTACCGGCCAGTAAAGCGGGTGGGTGCGGCTGGGCTGCCCAGCCCCGGGAAAGCTGGTTGGATACACTGCCTGGGGCAGCTGCACCAACCTCCGCGCCGCCACCACCGGACTGGAAGTAGAGTTGTCCCCACCGCCAGGTGAGAGCAGGATTTCAACAGGGTCGCTAGTGAGTCTGGGAGACTCTGGGAAGGAGAGGCCCTAAGCACAATGGGCTGGTGCTGCGGAAGGGACTGGAATTGGAGAAGGGGCTGGGCTACTGTGGAGGTGGAAGTGGAGGCCATGGGTTGAGGAGAAACTGGAGTGAAAAGCCTGGTGGAAGGAAAATATAGGTAGATTGTGTCGACTAGGTGTGGCGAAATTTGATAAAGGAGTTATGAAGGCAAGACTGGGAGAAGTTATCTGAGGGCAGCGCGGAGGATGAAAGGTCACAGGGGAGGAAATTCAGTTTCTAACGCCTTGATCATTTCTGCTATTCCTTGAGAGGCGCTGGTTGTTTGGGGCAAAACTTAAACACCACTGAGGTCTCCCCCACTGATGTCAGTGTGTCTGACTTCGGGACTGGAGAGCTGTTTCCTGAGTTTAGCTCTAGTGTAGACTGAACTCTGGCGCGCTGTAGGGCACTGTAGGCTTAATTGAAGGCACAGATCCACAGTAAAACTGTGGTAGGAGCTCGAAGGAGTTCAGTAGCTCATTTTTTAATTTTTGACATGCAAATAAAAGTTTATAACTTCATAGAGTCATAATTTATATTCAATGAACTGCACAGAATGTACAGTGTGTATAATGTATGTGCAGGCCACAATTTGATGAGTTTTGACAGATATATACACCTTTGGCATTATTTCTGCAATCAAGATAACAACCTTTACATTCTTCTGCCCCTTTTGCTGCACACCCCTCCTCCCACTCCAAACCAACTGTTGCTCTGCTGTGTCGTAGTATTGAATAAATTGCATCTTCTAGAATTTTATATAAATGGAAGCAATCAATATATACTCTTTTGTGTCTGGCCAGGAACTTTACCTTGATTACTGTAGCTCTATCGTAAGTTTTGATACATCTTAGAATCAACAGATCTCCTATAGAAAGCCTTCTGGAATTTTGATTGGGGTTGCATCAAATCTATTGATGTGTTGGAGAGAACTGTCATTTTAACAATGTAGAGCCATCCAGTTTATGAACATGGTGTATGTCTCCATTTATGTTGGTCTTTAATTTCTCTCAGCAAAGTTCTGTAATTTCCAATGTACAGATTTTTTTTTTTTTTAAAGAGGCATGTATATTTATTTATTTATTTGTTTGTTTGTTTGTACATGCACTGGGTACAGTCAGAAGCGCGGGAGGGTGAGAGAATTCACCAGAGCCAGAGCGGGGAGCAGAGCAGGCAGAAGGACCGAAGTACACTGCTGAGGGGAGCAGCGGGCGGCAGGAGAGGTCTGCGCGCCATGTGGGACCCTCCTCCGGTGGCTGGGGAGCAGTCGGGGATCGAACCGGCGCCGCTGAGGCTGCGGGCAGCTTCGCAACCCAGCGCTCAACCGCTGCGCCACCAGGGAGGCCCCCAATGTACAGATTTTGGGTAAATTTTGCTAGATTAATTCCTAAATACTTTTATTTTTTGGCATTAGTGTATTAGTGTAAGAGGAATAAAAATTTACTTTCCCATTGTTTTATGCTAATTTATACAATAGAAATACAACTGACTTTATGATAACCTTATATTTACATACAACCTTGATACTCAGTAGCACTAGTAATTCCCTTGTATATTCCTTGAGATTTTAACTTATGAAATGTCATCTTCATCTGCAAATGGGGGCAGTTTTACCTTTTTTACTTTCAATTTTTACCCCTTTTATTTCACTTCCTCACCACATTGCAATGGTTAGGATCTCCGGTACAATGCTGAATAAACATGGTAAGACTTTAGTCATTTTTTCCTAGTTTTCAATTTCAATGGGAAAGCATCATTATAATGTTATCTGTATTTTTTTTTGTAAATTCTCTTAATCAAATTGATGGTGGTCCCTGTGATTCATAGTTTGCCCAAAGTTATTTAATTATTTTTGTCTTACATGGGTATTGGATTTTTTCAAATATTTCCCACTATCCATTGAAAAGATCATTTTTTCCCTCTTATATTCTGTTAATATTGTCAACTATATTGATTTTCAAATGTTAAATAACTTTTTCAAATCTGGGATAAACTTTATTTGGTCGAGATGTACTATCTTTTGAAAATATATTTTTGAGTTGATATACTAATACTTTATTAAAGATTTTTACATTTATGTTCATGAAGGATATCAGTATGTATGTAATTTTAAAAAAAGCCTTTGTTAGATTGTTGGGGGGAAAGGATGTCCTGAACAAACTTCAGAAACAGGTTTTATGGACCCCACCCCCACCCCAGACCAAAGAGATTCAAGACACCAAGGACTACAAATCCCTAATGACATCACCACCAAAGGGGGGATTGCTGGAAACTGAGGGTGGAGTTAAGCAACCAGGTTAGGTATATATCCAGGTTAAGTATATATATGCGGGCCTTGGGGGTGCTTGATTTTTCACAGAACTGGTAGAAAACATTCACCAATATACATCTCTTCGTTTTTCTCCCTAAGTTATTCCTTTCTTCATTTCCCCCTTTTTGTAAATAAACCCTTTATTAAACTTTTTGTTAGTGCCTGCAGTTGAGTTTCAATATAAGTCCATGCTGGTGAGGACCCAGAGTCAGTCCGACCCGTTTCACATTGGGGTTGCCCTGTAAGGAGGTCTGTTGTTAGTGTTATACAGGTCTCAGAAAACAGTGGTTCCTTTTTCTCTCCCCTGTTTTCTGAAAACATTTGTGTGAGATTGGTATTATTTCTTTCTTGACTATTTCAAAGCACCATCTAGGCCTGGAAGATTGTGGTAAGGTTTCTGATAGCAAATAAATTTATTTGAAGTAGTATTATTCAGATTTTCTGGTTCTTGTGTTAATTTTGTAAAGGTGTGATTTTCAGAGAGTTGCCCATTTCATCAGTTGAATTTGTTGGCACCAAGTTGTTTATCATGTTTTCTTATTATTCTTTAATATCTTTAGGATCTATAGTGAAAATCCCTCTTTTATTTCTGATATTGGTGTCTCTTGTCTTCACTCTTGTTCTTGAATAGTCTAGCCAGGATTTAAATTTTTTTATTGATATTTTTGAAAGAACTAGCTATTGGCTTTATGAATTTTCTCAATTATTTTTGTTTTCTATTTGATGGATTTTTAGCTGCCTTAAAGATTCTTGTTTAATATTTTCACATCTGGGTCATTTCCAGACTCTCTTTTAATTATATTTTTCCTTGAGAATAAGTTGTTTTTTTCCTGAATCATTTTATGCTAAGTATTTCTTTTTGTTATCGCCTAGACATTGTTAATGTTTTATTGTATAGACTCTGTGTTCTATATTATTGAAGAATGTTGATGTTTTTGATTGAGAGGGCAATTAAACAGATTGGATCTACTTTGTAAGCTTTATCTGTGGTTAGAGTTTGAGTGGAGGTTAAATTCAGCTAAATTTCAGTTCAGCTCCCTAAACCTTTCCTGTGTTGCTTTGAGTTTGGCCCCCATATGTATGTATGGGTCAGAGGACAGCCTAGTCTTGTATGAGTTTAGACATGATCTGGGGCATTGCCTTCTTCGCCTCTTTTTTCCTCTGGGATTTCTCTCTCCTTGGTGATGGATGTTACCTGGACTCTTCCCCGTGACTTTTTACCCAGAATGTTGAAGGGCTTTCTATCAGAGTTTTTGCCACTTACTTTGGGTCATTCTGCAGTATGGTCAATATGGCCAGCATTTAGGCAAAAACCATAGTAACATTGGAAACTCACCTCCAGGGAAATGTTTCCACAAATTTTGACTGTTCTCTACAATCTGCTTGTTTTTGTTTACTCCTGAGAATATGCAGGCAGTTGATTTTTATATTTTGTCCAGAGATTATAAGTTGTAAGTAGGGGAATGGTCTGTAAGATGTAGATGTGGAACACATCTACATTGAAATTGAGAGCAGGCAACATTTAACACATCAAAAGCATGATGACAATAACAATAATAAAAATGCTCCTAGTGCTATTTAAGCATTTAGATGAAGAATCCAAGAAGGAAAAGTAGAAGTAGAACACGCCTATTGAAAATACACAGGGGGATGCTTTGTTGTTCCATTACTTGCTGTGTATTTACTTATGTCTGTATTTTACATATAAACTTATGTATATATGTTTATTCACCAAGGACATGAACATACTTTGAGTACTGGTTATAAAGAATTGAATAATTTTTTTACAGTCATCGAAATGTCTGTGGAGTTCTGAATAGTTTAGAAAAAAATCTTTTCTGTGCTTGAAAAAAGCTGTTCTCTATGTTCTATAGAGTTTTGACCAGCACAATATGTTAGATATTATTTTATTGCTATTAATAGGATTAAAGGTAGTAAAGCAAGTATAACAGAAACTGTGGGAAAATAGTTAGAAATTACTATTATCTTATTCCTTTAGCAAAATTGTTAAAATGTATATTTCCTATTTTACGCTTTTTCATAAATTATAATCAGTGCACAAACAGATCTTGTTTCTACCACCTGTACTGGTAAAAAATAAAGAAAATATTATTTTCAGAATATTTTTGTCATCCTATTGCTGAAGATTTTACCGAATGAGATAGATTCCCTTTGGACTTTAAAACTTCTCATGAAACTTGAGTGCTGTGAATTGGAAGCTAATATTAGTGTGAAATTTAGGAAGTGAACTGAGATGGTCTTTGGTCATAGACCCAAAAAAAGCTAAGTCTTGTCCTTATGGGTCACCCCTCCCACTGAAGTGCTTGTGAGCAAAACAGAAGAAATCGGGGCCAGGTAATCCATACGATGGAGCTTCGCTCCAGTGTAATACTGTAATACTGACAGCGTGAGGCCTGTCGTATGAAGGGCTCCATTCCCTGTGTGAGTGGCTTCATGGAGCTTGAAACCAAGTCATCAAGTAGTTTGTTTCCTTTCCACTTTAAAGTCTAGAGCAGAATTTTGGATCTTCTGTGCCAACAAGAGGAGAGACACGCTTGTAAGAATAGAAAGCGACCTGCCTCAGAATCTAGAGAAGTATAAACTTAATCAAAGTATAAACTTAATCAACCTGGATTGTGAGCAGCAGGCTTGGCACCTTATGTGGATCAATACTTTCTCCTGTCAGTACAGTAACATTTTTCCTTGAGTAACTCCAAATTGGAGCTAGTCTCTTTCTTTTTGTAAATTGTTGCCAATAAAAGGGAACATGTCACTTTGCCATGATACCAGATGTTGAAAAACCATTTTATATATTTTGTAGTATGAAGGGATGGGGGGTGGTGGGAGATGACGGCTCCAAGCTCTGATGGACTGGCCCATTTAGTATTGGAATAACACCTACCTTGAAAACACAATGAAGTTCTCATCAAATTTAGAGTTCTGTTTCCTCGTGGTTTATTTTTTACATATAAAGAGCAACTTTCCTATGGAGAACTCAAGGGAATGTACTGAGAAATGTTCAACAATGAATACTTGTTAAACTCCAATAGCAAAGAAAGGGCCTGGGAGAAGTTGAGAAGAGAATGCCAAGCAGGAACTAAGGAACAAAAGGGAAGTGCAGTGGAAGAGTAAAGTCAGGTTCTCATCAGGTATTAATGAGCTTCTGGCCTGTGCTTTGTTCCAGATACCACCTTTCACTCTTTTGTAGGAAGAAATGTAGATGGTGTCAGTGTGAACGTATTACCACCTGTGTAAATAAGAACAGCCAGAACACTATGAGTAGGATTACACAGTGTTTTTAAAATAAAGAAACTTCCTTAAGAGTTCTAGAAATCATTTGTAAATGATTCTAAATGCTCATATACTGTGGCCATGAAGAGAATCAGCAGATTATTATTTTCACTTTTTAGTATGAAATCTTGTATATATTATTGATGGTCCAAGGTCTAGTCATTGGTGGAACTGGGTAGAGAATGAAAGGCTGTTGTTGATTCCCAGTTAACTCTGTCATAAATAAAGACTGGTTTTTGTTGCACAGGTGTGTCCTCCTTGTTGATTATTATTATTATTGCTGTTGTGGTTACTGTTACTACTTCCCTTTTTGAAACTGAGTTATCTATCCTGTTTATGTTTCAAAGAAATAGTTACTTTTTGAAATTCAAAATATCATTTTTACTATGATTTTGGCTATGATGACATTAAACTAATACAGTATTTTGGGAAAGCCTAATATAAGTAAAATATTTGGCCTTTGCACTGAGAGACATTAACAGTCTATTTAACGGAGTCTTTCTTTTGTTTCTTTCAGTAAAAATAATTCTTTTTCATGTAGCTTCATTACATTCTTATCATGCTTATTCCAAGCTAATTCTAAATAAAATAAAATTGGAATTTTACTATGTTTTGAGTGGATAGTTTTGGTATAAGGGAAGTTACTGGTTTTTGCATATTTTTCGGAAAATGACTGGCAGAACTCTACTATAATTCTAACAATTCTCTAGAGCTTAGGTTTTCTCGGTAATCAGATTTGCAAATAGTGATGATATTCCAAAGGTGTTTCTGCTTTATTATTTTCAAAGAAACTTGACCTTGGGTTTTTGAAAAATGAGCAAGATTTTTTTCTTAATTCATTGGTTTATTTTTATTTTCACCTTACCTTTATTTCTTGAAACTCTCTTCTCCTTGGCTTCTGTGGACTTGGTTCTCCTCATTTTCCTAACTCTGACTGCTCTTGTTTCTCCTATCTCCCACAGGTGAGGGTGCCAAAGAATCTGCCATTGCCAGACTCCATTTTTCCTGTCAGCCTTTAGGTTCAAGCTAGAAGACTCTTAGTTGCCCTCCCTTTGTTCTTTTCCTCCTACTCAATATCAACACCCCCCAGACACTAGATCCAATCAAGCTACTTTTCTGCTATCAAGTGATTTCCAGTAGCCCATAGAAAAACTGCAAACACTTGGCATTCTGGCCACAGCCTACTTTGCAGCGGATCTCCCTTCTCCTATCATACACTCTGTTTTAGCTCAGGTGCCACGTTGAAGGAAGTGGGCTGGGTGAGGGATGGAGGATCAGCTGGAGAAGAAAGCCAGAATAGCTAACCTGCCACACGTGTAGGGATTTGGTCCTTGTTTTCTGAGAGCTGCCACCTTTTTCCCCCCGAGAAATGGCAAATGTGAAAATCCAGATCTTAATGTGATAATCTCTCAATTTAAAATGGTTGGCTATGAATTAGTATGTTTTTAAAACTTCCAGGAATTGGAAAACATGTCTGTGAACTGGTTCTAGACCACAGCTGACCACCTGTATGTTCTCTTAACAAGGCCACTTAGATCTTCTATGTCTGTGCTTACTATGGTGTCTCTTGCCTGGAAGTAGGACACTACATTAAAATGTAAAGAAATGCTAAAATAAGCCCAGTAGGGGTTTCAGAAACTCCCATTCAAGAAAAGTTTTAGGTGGTTCCTGTGCCAAGACCAATAGTTAGGTGGATTTAAAATAATAATAAACTAAGATTACCCACTTATGCTTCAGGGAGCACGATGAACTGGCATTGTATTTATCAAAGGAAGTTTTGCTTTATATATTACATGTTATATACTCATCTGTTGTTATCTTACAGAACAAATTAGTTAAGATGTCCACAGTTCGGAAGCACTTTGGACTAAAAGGAACAGAAGAATCGTACATCTTTAAAGAGCTTGAGAAGATTCGCCGGGAAAATAAAAAGGATTTTCTCCAATTCAAGCAGAAGTTGCTCTCCAGGCCCACTGTGGATGAAAGCCCAGTCTTTGGCCTCCAGGCCAGGCCGGGGGAGATGGAGGGCCTTTCTCCTCTTGGGCCCCAGAAGCCATCAAGGTCCCCTGGGGGTCGAGGCCCTGAGGCTTCTGCGGCGGCCCTCGCGCAGCTGGCGCGGGAAGGCACAGCGCACCTCCGGGGGGCGAGCGGGGCGGCCGCTCCGGGGAAGCCTCGCCACTTTCGCCCCCAGGACTTCTACTTGCGGAGCTCCGCGTTCCTGCGGCATCGGCCCCACAAGAAGCCGCCGGTCATCGCCTCCAACGCCGGCACCACCAAATCCGTGGTCCTGATGCCGCCGCCTGCGCCTCGGGGGAGGCCCGGGGTCCGCTGGCGCTCCCCGCGCCCGCGCCCCGCGGCCGTCCGGCCCCCCTCCACCGGGCCCGGGAGAAGGAGGCTGCGCCCGCCGAGCCCAGAAAGGTCAAAGAGAAGAGCAGCTCCTACCCCAGCGAGGAGCGGGACTGGAGGGGGGCCAGCCCGCGGAGGAGCCCCGGGAGGGCGCGCACGAGTTTCGCGCGCCAGGCCCCTGCGGCCGGCGAGGCCCGGGAAGGTGCAGCCTCAGGTCCCAGAACAGGCCCGAGGAGCGTCGCGCCCGGCGACTCGCTGGAGCCTGGCGCGCGAATGGCCTCCTCGCGGCTCACGCTGCCGCCGCTGGGGCTGGTGATCACCATGTCCCTGGAGGAGATCATCGCCCTGCTGCAGTCTGAGGCTCAGCTGGCGTCAGACCAGACCATGAAGGAGCTCATCCAGCGCGTGCTCGGCCAGAGCTACGACATGAAGATGGAGGTAGGTGTCCTGGAAGGAGAGTAAGGTTTCCCCTGGGTAAATGCCACTTAGGTGTACCATCGTAAGTTATTGCAGTTCTTTGAATTTGAAGTTTTGAATTTCCCTCTGAGGGGAGTGCATCCTCCTTTCGAAGTGGAAGAAATTGAGAGGTTATTTCAAAAACTGCTTCAAAGAACAGGAGTTGCAGACTGGAGTAATACCTCACTGGTGCCTTTCCTTTCTAAGTCCTTTTTATTAAAAAAAAAAAAAATTATTTATGTATGCATACAAGAGCTGGGGTGTAGGCCAGAGGTGAGGGTGAGGGGATTCACTAGAGACAGAGTGGGGGGGGGGCAGAAGGGGTGGAGCCACTGAAATACACCTCTGAGGGGAGCAGCGGGCAAGACAGGAGAGGTCTGCTGGGCCAGGTGGGTTAGCTCCCTGGCCGGGGATGGCACTCGAGCTGTGGATTGCTTCATAGTGTTGCGATAACCCCTTGTGGCACCTGGGAGACTCTCCTTTCTAATTCTTTGTGATTAATCAATATTGAAGTAATAGGTGTTTTAAATGGAAAAACTCAGTCTTCTGTTACATCTTAGCATTATTAACAATGAATTTTTATTCCAAGAAGATTACTGTGTTACTTTTAAGAAGTTGAATTTATGAGACTTGTGATACTTTCAGTGAAAACCATTCTCTTTAAAAAAAAATTATATTTTTAAGAATTTATTTTCTAGGCCTTCCCAGTGACACAGAATACATGATCCTTGTGTACCAAACACTATGGGATAGGCACACTCCATGTGCATTTTTGTCCCACCAAGCACCCATCAGGTGGCTATGGTGAAGAGCCCCATTTGACTAGGTGCCTCCTAGCTTTAGTGAGGTTAAATGATTGGCTCAGTGTCCACGACTAACACGTGCTAGGCTGAGATTCTACTCCAGCCTGTCACTCCCCATATACTGGACCTGAACCAAGCCAGAACTGACAGTTTGTTGATTGTGGCATGCCCCTGGGAGTAAAACTAGAGAGAGTCTTAGTGAGGATATTGTGCCCATTATATAAACTTCACTCTGGCAGGGATATTCAAAGCAAAAATAATAACAAGAGAATCTCAGTGAGAGAGAGAGAGTGAGAGAATTTTTTTCTTTTTTTTCGTGAATGACAATAAGGAAGAAGATTCTGTTACTGTTCTTGGCTGTGGCAGCAAGCTTCTTGTTAGTACACAGAATACTGCTGCCACATTATGTCTTTAAAATAGTTTTAGCCCCAGTATACACTCTTGGCTGTGATTTAAGGAATGTGATCATAAAGCCCATTAGGGAAACAAAAGCATGTAAAGACAAGAGTCCCCAATGTTGTCTTTGACCTAGTGTTTGTCAGCAGAGGAGGGCAAATGTTTTCACTTAAGACCCACACCTACTCATAGTTGCTGAGCAAGATCAGTTGGGGATTTTCAATTAGGTTTTCTGTGGGTCCAGTAGAAAAAAGATGCCCATTTGACAGACTTAACAGACAAAGTAAAGGCTTCAGTGCTTGTCCCTTTTACGTAGTGCAGGTATTTGACATGAAGAGAAGCCAGTATTAGAAACTGGCACAGAGTTCCTGTACAGTTGGGGAAGGTTACACTTTCAGAACAAAGGCACATAGGAAAAGGTCGATTTTGAAGTGTTCAGATAGAATTAGAATTTAAGAAGGGAGAAAATCAAATGATGAATGAACAATGGATGAGTGAATTCTGTTCTTTATGGTATTCTATTTCTTGTGGTTATCCTTTTTTGGGTGCTTCAGTTACCTGAATTTTGTGTAGAATTGCATGGCATGTCAGAGTCAGGAGCCAGAAGTACTAGCTCTGAGTTACAAGATACCTCCATTCATCTCTATCAGATACCTATGTTCATCTCTAACTTCCATTATACTTTTTTATTTAAAAAAAGATTTATTTATGCATAGAAGAACTGGGGTACAGGCCAGAGGTGTGGGGGATGAGAGGATTCACCAGAGACAGAGTGGGGAGCAGAGCAGGCAGATTGACTGAAATACACTGCTGAGGGGAGCAGTGGGTGAGTCAGGAGAGGTCTGCTGTGCCATGTGGGTCAGCTTCCTGGCTGGGGATCGAACTCATGCTGCAGTGGCTGCAGATAGCTTCACAGTGCGGTACTTAACCCCTTGTGCCACCAGAGAGGCCCCCATTACACTTTTTAATGCAGCCTAGCTTTTGTTCTTGTTTCTTCATTTTTGTCTCTCCCAACTCTAACAATTCCTAAGCTAAGGGCATTTGTTTTAAACATTTGGAGTTTATATAGACAATGCTTTCTCCGGGATAAATAAGGACTATTGTTCTTCGCCTTAGCCATCTTATCTTGGAGCCACACAGAATTCCCTAGAGGGAAAAACCAAAGGATAAGACAGTCTTGGCAGGGTGTGTTTTCTCTTTGTTTGGAGTTTGGTCATTCTGGATTCAGCCTTCAGAGTTCCACAAATAGTCGGATGGGCCAAAAGGTGCACAGAATACCTGAAGATTAAAACTAGCTGTCAAATATAAGTTAAGCAATCAACCTTGGCATTGTTGACATTTTGGGTTGGATAATTATTCATTATGGGTGGCTGGTCTATGAATTGTACAATGTTTAGAAATATACCTGGTCTCTACTCACTAGATGACAGTAGCATGATCCTCTTTCTCCCCAGTCCCATAACAATCAAAATGTCTCTAAATGTTGCCAAATGAACCTCTTAGAAGAGGGGAAAAAATACCACCTACACCTCCCTCCCCGAGTCTCTGGGCTCCAATGGTTGTCTGTGCTTACCTTAGGAGCTGAGGAAGCCATTCATTTCTCCTCCCATGTAACATCTAGGCTTGCTCACAGAGTATGTAGTAAGACAGGAGTAATCGTAGTCTTCTGAGTGGGCTTTTTGTGCCTGCCTTGGGGAGTTGGCAGAGATGAAAAACTGGACTTGGTGTGAACTCTTAAGCTCCAAAAATAAACATAGGCTCAAGGTAAAAGTTTGGGAAACAATCCTAGAAGCAAAGAGGATCCCAAAAAAGCAGGGATAACCATACTTAGATAAAATAAACTACCAGCTAAAAAAGGTAAGAAGAGACAGAGACAGATACTATAGAGTGGTTAAAGGATTAACATATCAGGAAGACATAAAACTTATCAACATATACATGTCAAACAAAAGAACATCAAAATATATCAGGCAACTCTTCTCAAACCTGAAACCAGACATTGTTAGCAACACAATAGTAGTCAAAGACCTCAACACCCCACTTTCACCAATTGGCAAATTGCCAAACAGAAAATAAACAAAATAACAAGAGCATTAAATGAGGAATTAGACCACATGGGCTGAGTAGACATTTATAGAAAACCATACCCCCAAAAGATGAGTACATAGTCTTCTCAAGTGCATGTGGAACAGTGTCCAGAATAAACCACATGTTGGGTCACAAAGCATGACACTAAGTTCATGAGGATAGAAGTCATATCAAATATCTTCTCAGATCATAATTCTATCAAACTAGAAATCAACCATACACACAATGCAGGAAAAAAACTTTAACATATGGATACTGAATAACACACAGCTGAATGGCCATTGGGTTAACAAGTACATCAAAGAAATTGAAAAATTGGAGATGAACAAAAATGAAGACACAGCCTATCAGAACCTAGGGGATACAGCAAAGCAGTACAAAGAGAGACAAATATAGCAACACAGACCCATTCAAACAACAAAAAAGAAAACTCAAATAACCTTAAAGGAAGAGGGAATGCTTTCAAACATATTCTGTGAGGCCAATATCACTTGGGTACCCAAGCCAGACAAAGACATCATTAAAAAAAATTACAGAATAATAACCCTGATGCAAAAATCCTGAACAAAATCTTAGCAAACCAAATTCAACAAACACATCAGAAGGATCCTACATCATGATCAAGTGGGATTGATTTCAAGGACACAAGATGGCTTAACATTCACCAACTGGTATCATTCACAAAGAAAGATAAAATCAGATGATCAGCTAAATAGATGCAAAGAATGTGTTTGATAAGATTCAGCATCCATTTATGATGAAACTCTCAAAGAAATGGGGATGGATGGAATATACCTCAACATAATAAAGGCCATATATGACAAATCCATAACTAGCATCATACTCAATGATGAAAAACTGAAAGCATTTCCTCTAAGATATGGTAAAGATAGGGTTGTTCACTTTCACCACTACTATTCAATATAGTGTTGGAAGTCCAAGTTAGAGCAATTAGGCAAGATAAAGAAAGATATAAAAGGAATCTAAATTGGGAAAGAAGTAAAACTATTAATACTCAAAGATGACATGATAACTATGCAGAAAACCCTAAAGGCTGCAGTAAAAAAAGGAATTGAACTAATAAAGTTAGCAGGCTATAAAATAAAATTTCAAAAATAAGTTGTGTTCCTATATGCAAGTAACAAGCAAGATGAGAAAGAAATAAAGAGTACAATCTCATTTATGATTGTAATATTAAAGAATTAGACACCTATGAGTAAACTTAACAAAGGAGGTGAAGTACCTATGCAGTGAAAACTATAAGTCATTATTAAAAGAAATAAAAAACACAAAATCATAAAAAGAGATTACTGTCTCAAGGATTGGAAGAATTAACGTTGTTAAAATGTCCATCTTACCCAAAGCAATATACAGACTCAATGCAATACCTTATCAAAGATCCAGTGGCATTCTTCAAAGAAATAGCACAAGCATTACTGAAATTCACATGAAATTACAAAAGACTGCAAAGAGTCAAAGCAATCCTAACCAAAAAAGCCACGATATCACATTTTTAGACCTCAAAATATACTATAAAGCTCTAATAATCAAAATATGGTACTGAAACAAAAAAAGGCACCCAGGCCAACAGAATAGTATTGAGAGCCCAGAAATAAACCAACACATGTGGAGAATTAATCTATGATAAAGAAGTGGAGCGTAAAGCAGATAAAGAGAGTAAAGCAGATAAAGAGA